TGAAAGTATTCCTCGGTGCTCATCAATGAACACTTAAAATTAAAAATCAAAATGTAATGAACAGTTATGAAGGATTCATAAGCAGCTGATTTCGCTGTGTGTAACAAAACATCTTTCCTACATATTTCACCATTCAAACTAGTAAAGATCAATTTTACAGGTTAACTTGCAAAATAGTAGCTCCTATTGAGTAATTTAATGGAGTAAGGTGGACAAAATATTCACTGTACAACAAATTGACTAAAATATTCGTTTTATTGAGCTCAACAATGTGCACAAACTGCTTTATATAAAGTCCAGTACAGGGTTTATAAAACTCATGGAAACCACAATAAAGTGTTGGTTCTGAATGGAATGGTTTACATTTATGAAGCCTTAAAATGTTATGTTAAATCCTAAGGATAAAAGACACTATACATAAGCTAATACCATAACCTATACATATCACTTGTAAAACTGTTATTAATTTGAAGACAATGGTTAAGTCACCTTTATTTCTAACGCATGATAAGTGGAACACATTCAGTTTGCCCAATCAGTCGTCATAAATTAGCTTTTCTGTTTCTGAAACCAACTTATTGTAGCGCTTTGAATCTTTTCTAACAACTATCTTTTACCAGGCGAATAAGTCCTCAAAATGAATGGCTTCACAAATCTTCAATATCGATGCCGGCACTACCTGTTTAACTACATATACTCCTGGCTGAAGACGTTAATTCAAGCATCCTAACCAGATCACGTTTGGGCACGCATTGTTGCACAGACACGGGGAAAAATTCATTTCGACATTGAAGTGGTCACTTTTCTATTTCGACGACTTTGAGAGATTTATATCACATCGATCGTTCTATATTTGAAATGCAATAGGTCGGTGGCATATTTTTAACCTACTTTAACCTAATTTTACCTGTGCATTTAGGTTTTGGAAAATACTAAATGATGGACAGGTATGTGCATCACCTATTTTAAAATATATTTCAGCTAAATAAAACCTTTGTGTCGTGTTGTTTAATTGCAGATATATGGCTAGTAGTACGTGGGTTTGGAAATTTTGTCGTTACGTTAAGACACTGATTCCCCGTCCATTTATTCAACAGTACTACTGCATCACATACTTCAAGGAGTATTTTGATTGACTTAACGGATATTTCTTGAAAAGCAGTTTTATACCAAACGTTCTCGACATGTGATGAATTCGAAAACAACTTAAAAGTACTGTAGTGACTCACATTTATCACGAGAACACGACTGGTTTAATAAAAACAATTATTATTATAACCAACTGTACCAGTGTTTGTTTTAATGTGCTTTTGTTTGACTGTGCTAATGACAGCTATTTTGTGCTTCCATTCTTTCGCTTACACTTGGATTGTAACTTCGCGCGAATTCGGTTACCTTCTGTAACCAAGGTTGTATCCTGGCACGATCTCGGTATCCTCTCGATGCCACGAGATCGCCAGCAAATATAACTCGACTTGGTCCATTACTTGCCTTCTGGTATTTGGCTTCTCTGAGATTTTATGGGTTTCTTTGGTTACGTTCGACCTTCGCCTTCTGATTAACTTGGCACGTGTTTCTTGGTAGCGGTGTTCATAGTTAATCTCAACTCGACGCCACGCCACAGTACTCTAACGTCTAATAATAATATAGTTCTAATTAATGCAGATATCATGTGCTCACTGCACTCATCTAAAAAATAAAGATTCACTCACTGAGCATTGTAAACATTTATTTATTGTCTCAAAATACACGTTCGGTATGGAAATAAACTACGAGGAGTCTGTATTGTTGGTAAGGTTGTAGATTTCCAAAGTAGGTGATTTTTGTCAATGACCAGGAGGCTTACTCGAGTTGGATGGGAATGGCGTGACTAATTAACTGACATCGATGTCATACCTCATGGTTGACACCTAGCACGGATTACCCTTTCATCGTGCCCGGGTACTAGGACTTCTTCGATAACCATACAATACAAACAACGTTGTTACAAAAGTATATCAGTAAGAGTAGGTACAAGAAACAGAAAGTGACCACCGCCATATTCACCAGTCCATGGCGTGCGACTGATTGTCTTTGAACTTAACGAGGACCGGAAAAATGTTCGATATTCAGTGACCTGACTACTGAGTGCTTTGGCTATGACTCATTGACATTTCACTGGCCCTACAACACTCCCCAACAGATTCACTAGCCGTTCAAATGGTACTAAGTACGTCGGGAGTAGTCATTTCCATGCGTGACAACGTGGGTCTATGTTTCATAGTTGTTCGCCGTTGTTTCATATAGCTGTAAATAATGGGAAAAATAGCCACAAGCACCACATCATTTTCCTTTAATTTTCTGTGTGAGCAAAACCATTTTTTTATCGCTTGCAGTAACGGAATGCACTTCTTTATCCATCGACCCCAGAAGGTATTAGTTAGACACTTTACTTGGCCCCATCGTTTCGAATACTAGAATACTGCACTTTATCCCTAAACCATCGCAATCTCTTAGTAGTAGCAGGGTGTTTGGCGCGAGCACCAAGTCATCTTTTTCATGTGATGTGAACGGGAATGATGTGGCGATTAGTTAAAATTGTTTCCATCTCCGCAAAGTAGGTTGCTGAACTATTATCACGTAAGATCTGTTAGTTGAAAATGGATGTCAAGATCCTCCAAACAGAGTGTACCAGTCTCTTCCAAACTCCACCTCGATGGCTAGCTAGTAGGGATTGAATTACCAGTATATCAACTTTAAGGTTGTGGTCATTTATCCTATGCTTGTCCCATATACTTTTATCAGATCGCAATTCAGAAGTTGCTCGACAAAGCTAGTTACGTTGTCACTGTAGATTTATTTTGGAATCGCTCTCCTTCCTATGTAACGTATTTAAGCCATTATGAAATCATTAGTAATCAAATTGAAAGCTACTTCTAGGTGTACGGCATGCGTTTGGGGACTCGTAAATACGAATCCATACCTCTTTTCCTCACTTCCTTCCCGACGAACCATCAACGCTTCAAAATAGTCGATTCCCACTGAGGAAAAGGAGAATCGATCTTGCTGAACTCGACACTCAGAAAGGGGTATCATCATTTACTGGGACAATGTAGCTTTCATACGCACACACCTCACGCAGTTACTTATCGTTCGTCTAAAATCACTGAATCCTCAAACAACCCAATGATTTCTGTGTATGATATCTAATACTTGTGATGTCTCGGTGTGGCCTTGTCTGTAGTGGCAGTGTCGGATAATCAGTTTTGTTACACACTGATGACCGAGTAAGATCACAGGATGTTTGAGTGGGAGTAGATAATTCGAGTAGTTTAATCTTCCACCAACACAAAGTAGTCCCTCGCCAAACGTAGGGGACAGATTTTGTAAATTTGTTTGCCATACCTTCGCAATTGTAATAAAGTTGTTTCACAGCATCCTCATATATATCCTTTTGCCCTACGACAAATGGACTGCGTTTAGCCGTATCTACTCCATCAACTGTCTGACAGCCTATACTTGAAGACCTGTCTTTTTGACAAGAGCAGATGGTGGTCGTATAGGTCACATATCTCCTGAGCCACCCTACCGCTTTATTCAGCTTTAACCAATTCGACTGGTATAACAGGACTGGACTTGAGTTACGTTTTACCGTGCCTGTGTTCGTCGTGTGAGCTCCTTTAAATTCAACGTTTTTTGAAGGCGTTTCCCAAATGAGCTTCGGTATTTTTATAAACTCCCTATTCCATAGGAATTAACGGCCTTCAATCCAGATTTTTAAGTCTAATCCGTTCTGTATGTCTCGTGACATCCAGCCTGCAGGATTTTCCTTGGATCCAACATGTCCCCACAGCCCACAAACGTTAACCGGTGAGTAACAGTCAGGCGACTAGCTATTAAGTTAGAATACCCGCTCTTCGTATTCCCCACGTGGTACAGAACTATCATAGAATCTGTCCTAAAATGAGTCTTACAAAACGTGTGTGGAAGACTTTTATTTAAAACTTCACCCATTCGGAAATTCAATACTGTCCCTGTTACCTCTAATCTAGGAACAATTGCCGGTTTTATAGGAATGACTATGGCCCTACCATATAGCAAAATGCTGTACGGTTTTTTTGCCTACGGATATTCTGCGAGTAGGCTACCGCACCGTAACCTGTTTCGGAGGCATCAGAAAGCAAATGAAACTCAGTCACCCCAAAGTTCTCTCTATTCTTATTTCTAATGTTTTAGGGAACGTTGATTATCCCAATCTTACGCACAAACTTAACCCGACCGTTTCACGAGGATACAACACTAGCAATTAGGAGCTGGTCTCAACCAATGTGTGGCTTACAAAATGTCTGTGAGAGCTGCTTGGTAGGAAGGTATACTGGAGCATTTAGGCCTAGTGGATAAAAAGAATGGAAAAGTGGATGATATTTCCATCCTAATTAGGGCTTTTTTCTCTAGGTCGAATTGATATTCTATAACTACGTGTACGGTGTCCCATTCGATCCCAAGGGTTTGATGGGCGGACCCTTCGTTCAAGGCCATAACAACTACCGTTACCATACTATCAGTTTTTGAAAAATTCGTCTACCAGTTCTTACGTAGTTACCAATTTTTTCACCCTAAAACCTCATAGAGCCATCAATTTGTTAAACAGCGCAATAAATTATTTTGCATCATCCTTATTGGGATAGTATATTAGGTAATCGTCCACGCAAAAGTTGTGCAGTACCGAATCCATTAGAAAACGTTTGGGCTGTCTTCATCAATGTGAAATCGACACAGAAGTGTGAGGTTATTACTCTGAAGGGGTGTGATGTCCCCTGATATTCCACAGGTTCTTTCGCGAGATCAGCCTCTGGCCACCATAGGAAAAGTAGTGTTCGAGACTTTAAGTTGCATGAACATTTTTTCTGCATCTGCAGAAACGGCAACCGGTTCCTTGTGGAAACGTCACAGGATACCAACGAAGTTTACTGTTGTATCTTGACTTTGGTAGAGGTCATAATTAGACAACTGAAAAAAAGAATATTCAAAGGCATGCCTGCTACAGGCATTTAGGAGAATACACTCATAATTTATGTCCGAAAGATAATCACAATGTAGCTTTCCTTCATTTTTGTTTTTAAGGTAGTATCTGAATAACACTATCTAGGCCGTACTGAACGACCTTACAAATCTTCTGGGTCGTTTGTTTATTGACCTTCACTTGCATGAATGATTTGTGTTCGTGAATTGCAGAAACTTAGAGGCAGCAACAGGCGATTGTGGACTTTAAGTTGGAATCATAAAGGATCTGTCTTGGTTTCCGGTGGGGAAGACAGAATAATCAAGTCATGGGCTAAATGTGACGATGAATCATGGGTTAACAGTTTCTCTCTTCCTGAGGCACACAAAAGATCAATTAGATGCATAACATGGTCGCCATGTGGTAACTACATGGCCTCAGCGAGTTTTGATGGAACAGTAGCCATCTGGAAAGTTTTCAAAGAGGCTTTAGGGCACGAAATGGAGGCGCTTGTGACATTAGAAGGTATGTTTTGACACAATACATTAAATTAAAACCATTTCGTCGTGTCACATATAACAAATTAAATAAAGTTTACCATGCTTGTTTGTTATTTTGGTCTAGTACACAATGTGGTTCTTCGAGACTTATTCGGTCTTTTCTTTAGATTCACTTGCACTTGTGACAAATTTGTTTCTGAATTCAGGTGGACCTTGGTAATTTTTTATTTATTAATAGTTTACAATGCAGCAAAATAGCCTTGCTGTCAGACAAGATGGATTAGTTCTTAACACGGAGTAGTATTTAAACCGCTGTTTTTATTTATCGTAAGAATGTGATTAATATACCTTGTTTAAATCATTCCTCTTCATACAATGGAAAACGAACCTGTCTGTAATTTGGTAGCTTCCGCGAACTTCATTATAATATATACGGTTTTGGATTGTCTATTGAAGAGGGATGTGCCTGAGAAGTTTATTAACATCCTAAAAGCCCTATATACAAACACCTCAGGCAGAATAAGGGCATACAACCATCTCCCTCCATTGTTCCATTCAAGCAGTGGAGTTAGACAGGGTTGCCTAATCTCACCATTCCTCTTCAATTCTTCCATCGATAACATTCTGGAAACAGCTCTGATGGGTGTGAGTAATGGCTGTGTTAATCTGTTGCCTGGAGAAAGACTTCTCGACCTTGAGTATGCGGATGATATTGTCTTACTGTACGATAATGCCCAAGTGCGATCCGCACTTAATCAGTTGGCAATCAGTGTTCGTAGGCATGGTATGTGCTTTGCACCTTCGAAGTGCAAAGTACTTCTACAAGACTGGTAGGATTCTAATCCTGTACTCACCCTGGATGGTGAGCAGATAGACGTAGTCGAAAAGTTCGTGTATCTGGGTAGCTGCATAAGTGGTGGTGGTGGCGTGAGTGATGAGATCGATTCACGTATAATGAAAGCCAGAGCTGCTTATGCCAATCTGGGCCATCTTTGGCAGCTTCGTGATGTCAGTTTGGCTGTAAAAGGTCGGACCTACAACGCGTCGGTGAGAGCAGTTTCGCTCTACGTTTGTGAAACCTAACCTCTCCGAGTTGGGGATGTTAGACGACTCTCTGTGTTTGACCATCGTTGTCTCCGAAGGATTGCTGACATCCAGTAGCAACACCATGTTAGTAATGCAGAGATTCAGCATCGTGTGTTCGGGCACAGAGATGATAACCCAATTGGTGTCACCATCTTGAAACGTCGACTTCAGGGGCTTGGACATGTTCTACGAATGTCGTCCCAGAGAATTCCACGTCGTGCATTATTTGCAGACACCGGGACTGGTTGGAAATGGCGGAGAGGTGGTCAGTGTAGGACATGGTGTCGTGGTATAAAAGAAAGCTGCAAAGGGCTGGCTTCTGTTGATTCTTCACGACTACCTGGCTGAGGTCCGAGAGATGGTGCGACACAGTGGCTAGAGACGTTATTAGATATGGCTCAGAATACAAACCAGTGACGATCCTGCTGTAACCTTCTTCATGAAGAGTGGCCGTAACTTCTTTAACTGAAAAATTTTCTGTTTGTATCTTTCTGTTTCTCCCATTATTATTATTGTCACTATTATTTTTGTCATTATCATTATTATTATTTCACTACCAAACACCAATTTGTGGTCGTTATTGTTCTTTTTCTTCTTTTTATGCGCACCTTACATTCCTTATCTCTTCACATTCTCATTGTCATTATGTGGCGCATATGTATCTGGTGCCTCCTTGTACCAATATTTATGTGTTCAAATAAATAATTAAATGAATGGTGTGTACGAAGGATTCACGTAAATGAGTTGGAAAACCCTGATTCCAAAGCAATGGTGCACATGAACTCGAGGATCTTGAGGCAACTAGTGGTGTGTAAACCTGTTGTTGGTCATCGGCAACCATTTACTGCACCTCCCTATTTTGCTCCACTGCCTTGTGGATTAGACGTTTAGGTCAAAGGCTCGGGGTGTACCTTCCTAAGAAGACCGCTTGCTTCGTTTCGGCACCTGGGGAGTATCTCATTTTTGTGGATGACTACATTTGCGATGATTTGTTCATAAACCATCCTGTTTGAATCCAGATTGTTTTCTCACCTGACTTGTGGAGCTCAAATTTTCTTTGCCGTAAACTTTCTCATTAATGCTCACTTTTCAAATGTGAGACGAGCAAAGTACGTAGCTTTTCATGGGCTAAGCATAGGGCAATATTTTTTTCGGCAGGTAGTGTATCAGTGAGGTATTATGTAGCTTTAATACTTTATTATAAGTAGTCTATCAATTTCACACTAATGCAAACTACTTTTTGTTGTTTTTCTCATGGATATTAGGGCATACTAGCGAAGTCAAGTGTGTTGCTTGGTGCCCATCCGGTCATCTGATAGCAACTTGTGGTCGAGATAAAAGTGTCTGGTTGTGGGAATTTGATGACGAAGAGGATGTTCAGTGTGTAAGCGTTCTGCAGCCCCATTCACAGGATGTGAAATCAGTAGCCTGGCATCCAGACGGTGAGGTGAGTACGCTTGGTAAGTATTTTTCGTGTTAAAATGCTGCCAATAATGGTTGGGTGCGGGTTGATTTTCGTTCACATTGTGGATCCATTGTTCACATCTTCACTGCCAGTCTATATATATATATATATATACATGCTTGAATCTTAAAATTAAGCTTTCTATATGTCTTACTAGGCTTTACAACTAGTAATGGCTAAATACAAAAAGATTTTATTTATAGTTCAAATTAAAATGCAATATTGGTGCAGATTGGCATAACATAAAATCCACTGATTATTGAAGTTATTTGCTGTTTTCTTATCATTCATATATGAGAGTTGGATTGAGACGATTACTAATAAGCACTATAAATACAATGGTTTTTCATAGTTTAAAATCTTAAACCTGGTAATTGTCAGACACATTCAAGCTAGTTTGGATAATTTGACAGATTAGTGCCTAGGAGTTGCCACTCAAATTGGTTAAGCTTTTTAGGATTATAGGTAAAACAATGGCTTTTTCCTTAAGTGATGAAAAAGCTTCTTAGTCTGGTATTCGTTTTCAAACAATACGTCGTCTTTTCTTGCTAAGACGTTCCGTCATCGTAAAAATACCTCGGGACTCCAATAGTTGACGAAAATAATTTTTACTACTAACTTGCACAAGGTTATCACTGTTTTTGTACGTTTAATAGTGTTGGACTTTGTAACAACATCTGTGTGCTAACTAGCAGGAAATGTAGGTTGGCTTACCGCCAACCACTTAACACCAAAACACAGTGCGCGCGATACCGAGTTACTCAGACTTCACTATCTGACAGGGTGGTCGGGCTTGCTTAATGTGATGAATGAATTAGGCCGTATTGACCAGGACAATCGTCCCTCAAGGTCTTACCATGCCAGGTCGGTTGAAGAGCGGTAAGACCAAAAGCAGCGAACCCAAAGTCCGAGGGCGAAGTTGTACTGCTGATTGTACAGAGGTGTGGCGGCAATAAGGTGTTTTACTCAGACAACCAGCATAATAGCGATGCTGCCTTTCCTCAAAGGAAGTGTGGGGTTAGAAAAGACCGACCCTGAAGATGCACACCGTCTTATCTCACGGATATCCGTCTCCGACGGTAAGGCCTCAACAAGTACGAAGCTAACACAAAACTTACCTACAAAAAGGTCATATGTGACCGACCTCAAGAAGTTTTCCCTTGGACACTGCGGTCACGCTGTCAGGTCAATAAGACCAAATTTCCTGTCCAGGTACATCTAGAAGAACTCTTCCACGGTGTGGATAACCGGGAAGTGATAACCGCCTTCATCCTTCTACCAGCACTCGAGACCACTATATTCATAATCATTTCCCTTCTAACAGTGGCTAAATTGCCACTTATTCTGTAGAATCTGATCAGCACCAAGAACTAGACAGATGTGTAATTAAGCACTACTGATTATCCGTTCAAATTCGGGTTTGTCTATTTATTTTTGCCATGTTCGAGTTGACTTCTTTTTTCCGTCATTTGTGTTTTATATAGGTTCTGGTTTCTACAAGTTATGACAATAAGATAAATGTGTATAAAGAGGAACTTGATGATTGGGCTGTTTTTATTCAGCTAAGTAAGTGATGAGTATCCTAATTTGTGATCAATTTTCTTTTCAAACTGGTATCATTTTATTTAATCTTCAGAGCTACTTCCGTATTTAATGAAATAATTTTAAGTACTAGTGAGTAGTTTATATTTCTACACTAAATATTCGACGACTCATCTCATGCTAATGCTATACATCACCTTTTTGGATCATGTAATATTAAATAAACGGGTTTAGTCAAGTTACCATCTAGGTGTTTTATTTAACACTTCGTTTAATTGGATACCTTTTATCTGAAATTTGAAAGACTTGTTTTTTGTTTTTGTCAATCAGTTCATTTTATTAATTTATAACATGTCATGGTGTCAAGAGTTCACTGATATCAAACTAACTCTTTCCTCATGTTAATCAAGATACTTGTTTTTTCTTAGAAAGTTTGATGTACGGTGCACCTCTTCGTTTTATTTAGGAGCATGCTATTTTTACTGTTATCCTTTGAAGTGAATATGCTCTGAATGTAAGATCTTAATTTAGTTGAAGCAGTTCCTTTAGCTTAACTGAACTACTCATAAAGGATTAAATGTAAGCTGTTAGGCAGCGTTTAGAGACGGAAGTTGTTTTGAAAGGAGTGGGAAAACTTCAGTCGAAAATTCGTTAAGTCTAAAGTATAGGTCAGGAAAAAGTTAAATTGATTTATTGCTTTACAGTGATTTTTGCAAGTTATGGCCCTTATGAGATAGTGAGTGACTATCCAGTAGGTCTTCATGAATTATACACATTCTGTTCCCTCTAGCAACTCGATTATAACATTTCCAGGAATTTGAAGTCATATTTTGTTAACTTTTCGTCAGCTGACTAGTACCTGTACAAATAAATACATAACCATCGTGTAAATGAATTTAATTTACGTGTAGAATGTAAATATGTGCTGTTCACTCTTTCAAAATAAAACTTAAGACTACAAAATGATGAGACTAAGTATAAATGTTTGTCTTCTATACTTTGATTGGTTAGTGATTATTGACCATAACCGGTTGCCCAAACCTAGTTAGGCAAGGCAGAGTTTCAACCTACTGTCTATTAGTTGGAAGTCAGATGTCATAATCACTAAGACACCGCCTCACGTCGTTAATGAAAACAAGCTTGAAGTCGATATAAACTAATTTGAAGTCGTCAGTTATGTTGTATGTTGAATAAATTACTCAAATCACCCTTCAGTTGTACTTTTCATTATCATGTTGATGATATTTTAAGCAGAGATGAATAGTAGCTAGCACTGTAATGTGGTACACTCGTTTCCTCCTGTTTGATAATAGTTGGAATGGGAAGTCTAAAATACACATTTATTAGGAAGTGGGGAGTATTGACTTCGAGATTTTCACACATTACTAAAAAGGTAGGAGATCTTAAAGCGCTTTTCTTCAACACATAAATTGGTTTGAATTCACCTTATGATACATAGTAGCTATTAGTTAATATAAATCAATAAACATGTACATGTTGTTGTATTGCCTGGCAACTGGAATTTCAGTAAGTAAGACAGGTTTTAAACCTGTAACTGAATATCTGGAAGCCAAGTGTTTCACCTACTAAGCGATATTTATATGATCCTCTATATCAGTACTTGTCTACTTTTAACTTTGAATCACATCTTTCTCATTACGAATGAGTGTGCAAGTAATATTGACGCTAAACATTGATTTTTTTGCATGAAAGGTAAACTACTGGGCGATTTTGTTGTTAATTTACCTATCTGGGGCATATGTTGTCTGTGTCAACTGGTGTGTGTTACTTAAACCAATTTCCCGGATAGTCGTAGTTCTTAGAAGTAGATACTTATCTAGCGTTATGAAATAGTAACATTGATTGTAACCTTTGTTTATTCCGCATAAATATTACACATGCCCCATGCATTAAAAATTAATTAGCCAGTAATCTTTGCGTTTATTTTTCCGAGTATGTTATTCTATTTATTTGTTTCAACTTCCTTAGCTGGACATGACTCCACTGTGTGGAAAGCAGAGTTTTCTCCATCTGGAGATATTTTGGCGAGCTGTAGTGATGATCGATGTATTAAACTTTGGGGATGGGAAGGTGAGTTTTATAAATGTATCTTTTATTTTAAATACAAATTTCCAAATAACTTGTGACATGGCTCAAAATCGACCACAATGGTGTCTTTCCTTAAACCGTGAGATTAAAATTACATTACACCTTTCTTTCCATGAGCCAATTCTTTCTCCTTGTATCATATCCTTACATATTATCTCTATTTATATGTATTACTACCATTGAAGTAACTACTATGAATTTGGTGTTGATCTTATCGTACTAATGAGGTACGGCAACTTGAACCGATTCATGTGCCTGATCCTACGTAGTGGATGACTGACTGACTGACTAGAAAAAACAACACATTGTTGAGGGAGAGAGGGTTATTTTTGCTCTCTTTTAAAACAACTTGATTGGTATACAAAGTTCAGCGCGGTCGTACTCACCTCTGTAAGAATTTGGGACTTGGAAATAACTTCTGGAGACAAATAATCACATTCTATCCCATTAAATTTGTTGTTGCAAAGATTCTCAGAGGTCATTTATTTTTCGATGTTCTCGTCTGTCATGATTCATCTCTCGATCAGCACTTCATTCTTCATTTAACAAAAACCTTAATATCTATCATAAAAAACTAGTCAATGATCGAAAATCTACTTAACATGGTAATCGACGTACAAGTGTTCACTAAATAAGCGAAGTTTGATTATAAATACTCACTCCATTTGAACAATATTAAAGTAAGAACAATTACACAGTAGGTAAATTAGTGTTATTTGATTTTCTGCTAGGGATATTCAACGTCCTGGTAGGATAAATGAAACTTACTGGAGGCCTAACTTGAAGAGTAGACAAACAAACAAACATTATCTGCATAGAGTGCGAGATTGATGTAAGTTGGTCCAGGTTTCCATATTACATTAACACAATGAGATAGAAATAACAAGACAATTAGCAAAAAATACCGAAAGTAACGTAGCAGCAATGACAATAAGACTAAACATTAGAAATGTGTTTCGAAAAGACTGAATGGAAAAGTGTATCTCGTGGATTACTGGAATTTAAGATCGAGAGGGAAACAAAGAGTGAATCCATCTAAGCCATTGCGAACTATCTTCGGTCATGTCACCCAGAGTCCCAAACCACTGACCAAGGTTATCACGTAGACTCCAATCATGTAGTCTGCATCTGCCAACATAACTGAAACCAACAGTCAATGAATTCTTGGACTGGTCTCATATCTTGATTCGATTGCTAACAGTTTTCTTCCAAATTAATTGTGCACCATTAAGCACCACTTATCCACGTAAGCCATTGTTGGGCATATGTAATACATTTCCGAACCACCTCAGTCCATGAAGATGCACTGCCTTATCAATTGATTCGCCATTCCTACCTGGTACCGTGTGTCTAGCATCAACACGACCCGTTTGATCGTCCTGGAATGTACTAGAAATGCTTCGATGGTATCTCTGATCTAATACCAGTAAGTTGTGAATATTCTCTATTTTCAAACGTTACATTTCACAGTCATAAAGTGATCGAACAGTTGTTCAGTGAACTGGTTGTTTGTTTGGTGAACGAACATCTCGTCTACAACACATGCGCTACAAGTTCACGAAAAGCAAGCAAGCTTATTGAGTCCATGCCGTGATTTCTTCAGACACCAAGACAAGTGGAGTGATCGATACACTCAATTACTTTACGTCGACGCGGATCATTTCGCTTCTATGTAGAGAGATAAGCATCTTAAACATGCTAGCACTGTTGTTTAAAGTGGTAATGGGATTGCATTTTTTCAGCGTATTTGCCACACAGAACGATGCCATCTACATATTTTAAGTCAGCAAGAGAGTTTCGTGGTAGGACAATTGCTAAAAAGTGAAACGATGAAAAATAATGATAGAGTTAAATAAGAATGCAGAAAGCGGACAGTCTTGAAGAACATTACTCGAAGTTAACTGTTTCGATGACAGTTAACCGCAAGTCGTGGTCCCACTAGTAGTGTTCGATTATTGAGGCGATATTAGGTTAGTGTACTTCCTTGGTATAATTTAAGAATAATAAATCGTATCATAATCGTCTATAGTCAAAATAAAGCTTATAATAAGAGGAATATAGATATACATAATCTAGTTATTGAACAGTTATGCAATAAAAAAATATGTATAATATTTGTCCATAAATAGTTCTCAGTAGTTACCCCTAATTTAATCTTCACTAGGATATAATTATATATATACTTATAAATTTACTATTAACGGATGAAAAAATAAAGAAACAGTGTTTACACATTTCTATTTCTACTGTCACATCGACAGCAGTGACAAACCGGGGTGAGAGGAGTAAAAACATAGTCAATTATGGAGAACTGCAGGAAAAAATAGTAATCTTTCATTTATTGAATATAAACTTGCTACTTTTTGTTGGAGGTCTTTTATGACATGCGATGTTTATAAAGTGCAACGCTATATATATCACCTTAAGTTGTAAGGAAGAACGGGAAAACATGAACGATTTATTTCAGTCTCTATATACTATAAATTTAAGGAAAAAGATTAAGCGACGGGACTACACAACGACAACTACGCTCATTTTTAACCAGTCGTAATATATAATTTTATGGAGCAAAAAAACACAAAATAAAAGTAAAAATGTTGAACTATCAAAGAAGAGGGAATAAGAAGAAAAAACTTGGGATAAGAAAAATGCATAAGCACTCTGTTTCTCTCGCCGTAGGCGTAATAGATGATTTATAACTGAATTTAATTGAATGAATTTACACAAGGATAATATGACAAGTGTGGAAAAAATGCGCATAAGTAGAGATAACAAAGTCTCTGTCAAGATAACTAAATATTAGCACACATTACTCATGGAACTGCAAGTAACTAAACATAAAAGTTTAAATGATTTTTTACCCCAAAATTAACATTAGAAAATTAGTAATGACAACTGTGGTGCTATGATAAACCACCTTTTATGCGAGTTATGCTATGTAACATTTGCATATTTTCATGATTAAATTGGGAGTTAAATCTAATTGCATAACACTATTAAAATTTATTGAGCAGGCTATATGGTTATGATAAGTAAGGCAACAAATCAGCTTTTCAGATCCTTCGTAAGCATTTTCGGCAACATAAGAAAGAAGTTAAGTCCAACTCCATACACTTTTACATTTGTATTTAGTGGATACTTATCTTACGTTAGACGTGTTATAATATGCCTTATCAAACTCTGCCCTATTCTGTCAGTTGTGTGGCGTGTATAGTTCTCTTTCAGATTTTGGAACAATACAAACTGAAAATTATAAATTCTATACGTATAAATTGTTTTGAGTAAAAATGTCACCATTAAGACTCATCCACAAAGTAAATCATTGAATTAAGATGTCATTGAAAAGCACTATTGACTAACTGGGTATAAATGTAGTTTTCTTATTTTTAATAAAATGTACAAAAGTACATTTTCACTCACTTCTTAGCCCATACAATGCTAGTTAGATATAGCTTCCCTAGAAGAAAAAAACGTAACTTGATATCTATACTTGCAAAATAACGTTAATCGTATACAACTATCCAAGCGATAAGTGTATTATTTTTTTAACGCTTTGTTGCTGCTTATCAACGTGTGACGCATGCGTTGTAGATGAGATGTTCATTCACCAAACACACAACCAGTTCACTGAACAACTGTTCGATCACTTTATGACTGTGAAATGTAACGTTTGAAAATAGAGAATATTCACAACTTACTGGTATTAGATCAGAGATACCATCGAAGCATTTCTAGTACATTCCAGGACGATCAAACGGGTCGTGTTGATGCTAGACACACGGTACCAGGTAGGAATGGCGAATCAATTGATAAGGCAGTGCATCTTCATGGACTGAGGTGGTTCGGAAATGTATTACATATGCCCAACAATGGCTTACGTGGATAAGTGGTGCTTAATGGTGCACAATTAATTTGGAAGAAAACTGTTAGCAATCGAATCAAGATATGAGACCAGTCCAAGAATTCATTGACTGTTGGTTTCAGTTATGTTGGCAGATGCAGACTACATGATTGGAGTCTACGTGATAACCTTGGTCAGTGGTTTGGGACTCTGGGTGACATGACCGAAGATAGTTCGCAATGGCTTAGATGGATTCACTCTTTGTTTCCCTCTCGATCTTAAATTCCAGTAATCCACGAGATACACCGAGGATATTTCACAATGATGCAGTTGTACTCACTGTCGTCCCTTAAATGCAAAGATTTTAGTGAATGTTTTTTATTATTATTATTTACGAACTCGTGTTCTCTCAGATCACTTGTTAATACTAAAGCTTTATGATTATTACTAATACTGATACTACTTCTTATACCCCCTGATTTATGTGTTTCTGTGCTGTTATGTTGTTTCTGCTTGAACCGATACGCATATGTGCCAGGCTTTATGCTGCGTTTGATTGGCTGTTCAAATAATTACTTGACAGATAACATTCTTGCTCAACTACAAATGTTTAGGTTTTGTAAAATCTACTTTCATTTTTATTCAGTTAGTTTATTTGTATCAGGTAACCAATGATAATACTAACATTGTTTGACTTATTACTGCTAACATTTTACTTGTTTTTTCTTTCTGTTTATGTCATAAATCATGATTTAATTTATATTACCAAGATTGTTTAATTTTACAAAAATTTTCCAGCAATGTATTTTAGTGGGAAATTGGTTGTTCTATATAAAATATTCAGCCTAGAAAAGTTATCATTGTGATTTTCATCAACTCTGAATGTATAGTTCTATGTTGGGACCTTTTTAAAATGTACAGTTCTCAAAATATTTTTTAAACAATAAAGAACAGTCTACTTTTGTGAGTGTATTAGCGAACTATTAGAAAGCTTGTTGTGAAAAGATTAAACTTTATTTCATTTTGTTTTCTCTTCTCAACACTTTCATTTCTAGTCACAGATGTATTTTTAGAGGTTTTTAAATGGTAATATAATTTAGCTTGCAAAGTTTGTATAAGTAAATTTTATAATTATATTTTTACAGTTTATACTATTCAAACATACTATCCAGTGTTTTCATATTTCGATTTTATGAATCCATTATCTACCTTCATACATGTGTTTCCCTTATGTGACTAGCTTTGTGGTTACGGTTTCGATGAATTGTCTTTGGTTGGTTGTACATGTGTTACATAATCAGATAATAATGTAATTATTAATTACCTTTTAGGAGCTTGCAGTAAATCAACTTCGTGGGTGTGCATTGCTACATTAACTGGTTATCACATACGTACAATTTTCGATTTAAGCTGGTAAGTAACATTTTTACTCTTATATGTCTATAATTAGATGACTTTGTAATGAATACTTGACATACCACGTACATTCTTTGGTTCAGTTAGTAACCCCAAGTTATATCATGTAAACGATGACTGAAACGTAAAGTGTTTTCGGTTTAAATTCGTTTGACAAATTCCAGTATAGTTTAGAGTTCATTTCCAGAGTGTGTGATGCAAATACAATACATTTTACGCTAGTGAGTTTTGTTTTACAGTGATGGGATTTGGTGTTAAAGGAAATTCAAAAATTTGTCATACTGGGATTTCAGTGTCATACTGAATATTCACTTTTGAAAACATGTATAGTTTATTGAGACTTTACAACTGGTATTGAATCGTTTCTCATGGTTTAGGGCAAAACCACTCCTACATCTAAAATCAATGTATTCTGTGGTAGTCTATTCAGTTACATCATCTACAACACTCCTTAAACGTTTTGATCTGACTGATATCCAAGGTGAAAAGACATCAACATCTAGGTAGTTTTAATGCCGGGCTGAATGATCAGTTCACAGCTGTTCTGTATACGTATGTTACAGATTTAACCAAAGATATGCGGACAGTGTCCATAGTTAGGTGAATAAGGCACGTACACCTCTGGCCTATATGATTTATACCTCTGACCCCTTTGATAGCCTTACAACTTATGATTTGATTATTTTTCACAGAAAGCCTCTTCTGTGACGTGATTACATAGAGAACTTTCAGTCACTAAGTCACAGGTTCAAAGCCTGCTCTACTTAATTTGGTTTGGGCGACTGGGTAGTATCATTAATTCTCATTTAGAGTACGGCTCTTACCCAAGTACCCGGTGAATGAGTTAATCTTATTCTATGTAGAGAACATCAAATATCTTGTAATGTATGAGACTATTAGTCTCTTCATTGTATTGTAAGTTTATTCTTTCAGTCAAACAAAATTATTCTTTGCCTACATTGACTGTTTGCATTTTCAGTTACGGGTATTAACACTCGTCTCCATCACATGTATTTTGAGTTTTCTAAGTTCACCATTGGCTTGAGTAATTGTTTGACAATGTATTATGGGGAATTTTCTTATGACAGATGTCTGATTTCCATTTTGCATTATGATTAAGGCTTTCACTTCGTATTTGATTTAACTCTTATCTCTTAATCATGTTTATTCAATGCTCAGTGTTATCGCAGATTTAAGTTGGGATTTCATAAGGAAAAAGTACATTGCAGCTAGGGATGAATTCTGAGAATTTTACCAATTAATCTTTACTGATGTGACTGGATAGTTACTACGCAAATCATCACATAAAACTAAGGGTCAGTAAGATAGATAGTCAAAAACTGGTAGTTCGATGTCTGTAAGAGACGAAAATATTTTATTAACATTAAAGTTAATTCAACTTTACTTACGTAGATACGGTCAATCAGTGTGTTTAGCCGACGTTTGGATGCAAAATAAGATTAAACTCTAAACATTGGCGATTTTTAGTTTATACGTGTATAACTTTGTGTTTGATTTTTTGAGTCTATTAACGATATTTTTTCTCACACTATATATGTAGTGCTTTTCTCTCAACTGTTTGACAGGTCATCAGATGGTCAACTCTTAGCCAGTTGTGGTTCTGATAACAGATTATGCATCTATAAGATGCCATCTAGTGGTTTGATTCATATTGGCGGGAAACCGTGTTTAGAAGAACCACCTATTCTATGGGGTTATGTTCCGAATGCTCATTCAGAAGACGTAAACTGTGTACGTTGGCAACCTAAGGGTTTCAACAGCAAAAATCATAGCGAAGATACATCAGACAGTCAACTAATTTTGACAACAGCCTCTGATGATGGATATATCAAGTTTTGGTCCATCAAGTGTGATGGATAATCCTGTTTCTTTCACGCACCAGACGATTGTGTTTATTTGTAATTGTACTATTTTATGAACAATTATCTGTACATATAATTTTTACTTTTATAGTCTTTAAAATTGATCTTATTTTCATTATAGATTCGATACACATGGTGATTTTTACTCTTTTTCTCATATATATTTTCAGTCTACGTTTATGAGTCAGTAAAAATTAAATCGGAATGAGTAAACATTGGTTTTGCTCCGTGTCTAATAGTAACGATGAGTAGTCAAAAGAAAGGAGATAAAGGTAATTTCGGCACTCTGGTTTGAACTTTTTTTTTAGGAGTTTATAAAATGTACTAACCATTTGGAATTGATTGCCAGTGCTACTGACATCATGTTATATGGGCCATTGATGACCTTAAAATATTGGTTTTGGGATTTTCAAGATCAGATTTGTTTGTTTATAGCTACGCTTCATTCGATCACCTTGAATCCACAACTTAAAGAGTTCGTTAATATCGGATGCTGACGTTAAGTGGGTTGTGGTAAATGTAAAATGATACAAAATATCACAATCTAATGACTTACTTTTAGCAATCCTTAAATAAAGCTAACTGAGATCACGGCTACAATATGAGACTCTAAACTAGTTTCAGATAAATAGTCTGATTCTGCAGTTGATGTTCATTTGCGATGAAAACTGTTTTCCAAGTTATGCAACCCTCTAGAAATCAAGTGTTTCTTATTGTAAATCCTCGTTTCTAAAGTGGATTATCAATTGATGGTTATTTTCAATAGTGTTTTTGATACATAAGTAACGGAAAAAGTCTTCTACTTATCATCTACTTGCTATTCAATCTTCTATTGTAATCCGTCAATAAATCCAAAGAATATATCAAATATTAGTGCTTCACAACTTTATAAATACGAATGAAATAATTATACGCTTATATTTAACTTGATATTTCGATATTTAGTTTAGGTAAGTAATAGTTGACCGTAATCATGGTTGTATAAATTTGAGATATTACTTCAGGGAATTTAATGGAAGTAGATTAAAATCCATCCACAGAACATTCTGAAACTGATCACTCAGTTATGTCATAATCATTATGTTCTGTGTATGCATTATTCAATATGTATGAAATTACCAGGATGGTTACCTCAGTATCCTAAGTTTTGAGAACATTCGCTTTAGTTGCATATTTATTATTGACCTTCAGACGCCCTTATTAAATTAATCAAACTGAAAAGCAAATTATTTGGTCAGATTTAAGTTAATGATTAGAATTACTACTAGGGATGTCTATAACGTTTGTCCCATCGCCATTGAATCCTTCATTAGTTATGCATCATTAACCCCGCTTAAAGGCCTGTTACATTGTGTTGTTTGGACAGACAGTTTTATCTGCCTTGAAGATTTTGTATGATAACTAAGTTTCGTAGAGTATAGCATCAACTTTTCTAATTCTCACAGCTGCGTTTAATCATGTTTACGTAGTATACATGTTTTTTCTTAGAAATAATGACCAATTTATCTATTTTACACAGCTGGTTATCTGTTTCGTCTATCAATCTATTGGCAAAAACTAGTCTTCCATATGTACATAGACAGTTATGTCAGTAGGAGCTTGTAGTGGCTGTGCTTCTATAATTAATCACCCTCGAACCGTTATCGTATAATCTTCAACGATGTTTGAAATCAGAAGGCAAAGAGAAGCAGCTACTACAGTTTATTTAGTAGATAATTCGGACCAGACAGCAGAGAGGCAAAATGAATGAGCAAGCGAACTACGATTGTAACAGTAGCAAGTAGCTGTAGTAGTAGTAGTAGTTGTTGTTGTAGATGGGTGCAAATGTACACATATATATATATATATATAGGAAAATGGATGAGTCAGCGAATAGATTAAGCAGTTAATAATGAAGCTAGCAGAATGAATACATGCGTAGGCGCTAAACAATGTTCAAGCGTATGTATTTCATACAAGCATTAATAATAAAGATAGTACAACAAGTTGTTATATCATGGATGACTTTGTCCACTAAATAAGTTAACAAAAAGGGCTTAACTGGGTTAAATGAAAATAAACCCATTAGCACGTGAGTCGCTATAAGCTTATGTATGTGAACATACAAATATTGATGTTAAGTAGTCGAAGGTAATTGAACTAATTTCCATGCTAGTTGGCACTCGTCAGCAAGAGACATCTACAATCATGAGGAGACTGATGCGCCCCATATGATTCGAAATTTATTACCCAACTTCATCGTCTGAGCTATTCTGACTATAACTGATCTATAGAACCTATATTTATAATGTAAATAGTAAACTATGTACATATGAATATTGGTAGATAATAAATCAGTTGCTACAGTTTACGTTAATTTAATATTGATTCCAGTGACTGTATAATCCAATTTTGTTCATTATAATTTGTTTGACAAAGAAAAATAATTTTAATTGTCCCATTTTCGTATAACGTAATTCAATTATACGAGCGGATTGTAACAGAAAGCGTAAACATTACTATGTATTGAAGAAAAGTAGGTTAATTCATTTGTTACCGCTTATGAAGTCTAATTGCTTCTTCCGAATCAAAACTACTCAACTATTTCATTATTTATTTACTTTTTCTTTATCTGTTATCTCGGATTTTTGGACAATTTCAGCTCTGATCAGTTTGTTGTTTTTCTCAAGTTGTTTTCAAATTGTCACTTGTATCCAATAGATGCGCTTATTTTTTGTTCCATACGAAGATCGAATTAATTATTATAATGTATAATAACCAAAAACAACTTATTTAGGGATCCATATAATCCTAGATGGTATTTTGTTTAATGTATATGATACCTGGTGAAAGTTATCAATTAAGTTAGTACTAAATTTCAGTTTCAAAATCAACAAGAAGAAAATCAGTTAAATACTAAGCAATTGCTGTTTAATGATATCAGCTTTATTTTTTACAACTACTCTGTTGATAAGATCCATTCAGTACAAATTAGCTAATTATTAGTCGATGTATAGATTTTTTTTTGAAAAATTGTACCAGTCACTCAAATCAATTATATCCATAGAATGCTTAGTTATCTTGTGCTTTATAATTCTTCCCCGAATCCGATGACGCGTAGTCAGAACTAAAAGACTTTGACTTTGAACCTAAGTCAAAATGATACAAGTACGCTTATATGTTGATTTTACGGACACTTGATGATCATTTGTAATATCCCAATGAGTAGGAAATTAGATTTTCTGACGTTTCGTGACTTAGTGTAAGTCACTTCTTCAGAGAATAAATAACCAAATTAAAATTAATCCAAGTTTAAATAGTACAACGGAACAATAAGAATAATATTTGATCAATCAAAAACAGGTCTGAAACGACTTAATCTCATGTCATTTCTGTCAAGATGATTCATAAGTGATATGTAGTAAGTTTGTGTGTATGTATGTGTGTACTGTTTAAGAATGAAAAATTGGGTGATCTTTATGGTAAGAAAGGATAGAGTTTAATTTGTAATATGGTAGTGTGAATTGTATATATGATCAGACTGAATGGCTAGGATAGATGGTCCAAGTAGGATGTATGGTGAGGCCTTCCTTTCTATTGAGAGGAGTAGGATTAAGCATTATATGGAACGCTTCAGCTACCCTCCCTTCTTTGTAGTTGGAAAAGCCTTTTTGCAATATTTTGATGTTTTTAAAATCAATTTGGTGGTTGTTGAAAATGGCATGAACTGCTATTGCCGATTTAATTTGAAGTTTATCCAATTCTATGGGATTGTTAGGAGGTTTCTTTGTGTACCTAATGTGTTCTTTGGCTCTAGTCAAAATTTCTCGAGATGACTCTCCAATACAGAAGGCATCACAATCGATACAACCTAATTTGTAGACGCAGTTCTGTGTGGACATGAACGGGATTTTTTCCTTTAGGCTAACTAAAGTATTTCGAAGTGTGTTCGTTGTTTTGTAATATACTTTAATTCTGTGTTGATTTAAGATTCTTTGAAGTTCTTCTGTTGTACCATGACGGTATGGTAAAACTGCAGTACCAATCCATGGTATTTCATTCGAATTATTATTATAAGGTACTAAACTGTCTTGTTTTAATATACTGCTAATAATCTTCATAGGAAAATTATTAAATTGTAAGATACTAATTACATTCTATTGTCCTTTTTGCTTGTCTTCCTCAGATGTGATCTTGTTAGTTCTTCTAAAAAGATTTAATGCTAGCGAGATCTTAGCACTAAAAGGATGTGAAGAAGTGACTTACACTAAGTCACGAAACGTCAGAAAATCTAATTTTTCTACTCTTTGGGATATTACAAATATACTATTTATTTATAACAATCTACTCAATGCTCAATTTATTCGAAAGTATCAAATCAAGCCTTGGTAATGATACATACTTGATGATCAGTTTATAATGATCACATGAAAAAAAAGAAAGAAAGATACAGAATTACTACCCAAAACTCAAGCTACATATTTCATACTAAAATAATGAAATGAATATTATTTTAGATCAAAATTACAATGAAATAAATCAATATTATACGGAACAAAGTATATAAGTGAACAAGTATTACACTGAATAATCACTATATGGAATTAGAAAAAAAAATTGGAAGTCATGTTTAACAAGAATTGCAATGTATATAAAATGTGGTTTTATCTTATCTTGTTGTTATACCATCAACAATATTGAATAACACTTATCAATATAAAACTGAACATTTCATTTATCTATTAACTTTATCATAGACGAATTGACTGGTCATAGTTCATATTCTTTTCAATTAGTTTGCATAGAAATTGTACTTTGATTTAGATTGTGTATGTTATTGTTCAAGTATTTGATTCTTACTTTATGATGGGATTTACGAATGTAAAATAAAAATTGATTAGTTAAAATATATTTTAAGAGATAGAGTAAATATATTTTTACCTATTTATTTAAACACATAAACATTGGTACAAGGAGGCACCAAGTAGATATGCGTCACATAAATCATCCGATTTGTGTGAGGGCTGTAATACTGCCCGGACCGAATCAGGTGGTTTTCTTAGCGGGCCATACTCAGAGCCTTCGACCTAAAGGTCTGACCCACAAGGCAGTGGAGCATCGTGAGGAGATGCAGTCCCATGGTAGCCGGTGATAAACGATTGGTTCATACGCCATTTGTTCACTCAGGATACTGGAACTCATGTGCACCATTGATTTGTGATCCGGTTAAAGCGCCGGACATTCGCTTTTCGTCCTCTCATTTTCGTAAACAACACCCCCACCACGAGAAGGCAGTGAGTAGGACTTTCCTATTATTAACTATTTTATATACCAATAAACAGTGTACGTTAAAACAAAAAATAGTGAATAAGATATAGAAGCTAGACTTTGTTATTATTTCAATATCGTTAACAATTTCTGGGCTTTGAAAGTGTTCAGAGTTTAGTACGTAGGATACTTTTTCAAAGAAGTGTAGGTCTAAAAATATTGTTCGTCTGATGACAAATGTATGGAACTTCAATCTTTTGCATGTTCGTGTTAATTTCCTCTAAGGAGTCATACATTAGAAATAAGGAATAATACTTTAGTTCAGTTCAAATTAGTTTGGAAATACAGAGAACTAATCCCATGGCCCATAATGGGCTATTTATTATAATTTCTTTGAGTATCTTTTATCGTACAATGTCTGATTATACTTAATGTCTGAGTTCGGACTATTATTATTATTATTATTAAGATAAGAGTATACATACCATTTGTTTTATGATGCCTATGGTAAAAATGAGTTTAGCTAAAATGTTATTTGATTGGATAACTCGTACATTATCGATTAATAGGAAGAGGAATTAAAAAATATAAAAGTAACTAATCTGACATTTGGCAAATGAAGTTAACCATATATTAACCAAACTAGAAAATAAATTAGGGAAGTAAAGTGAAACGATTAATTTTAAATATACTTATTTATACTTAATGACAAATTCTGGGAATAAGTATTTAATCTATTAAGCCCTTTCATGCTGATTCAGACAACCTTCTTTTAACTCTGATTAGGTAAGGAAATAAATTTAGGTATCGTTTTTATATTCAACAAATCTAATATATTTAAACTAATGATCATATAGTTAGACAAATGGCGTACACTTGAAGTGATTTGTATCAATCGAATGTTGATACATTTTATTAGATCCAGCTAGATGTTGTTAGCAAGTTGTGAAGTAAACAAGTATTGATGGATAGTTAAATATGACATATATATATTCAATATATAAATTTATCGAATAGAATAATATCTTTTTCCAAGATTTACACGCTTACACTAACTAGAAATATTTATAGCTATTTCACTTTTAATCCTTGTTATTTTAATCTAACTTTTTGTTTTAAGCTTGTGTGATAATTAGGAGTATTTGAATTATAGTGCAAACTAGGAATCCCAGAAGTAACACAATTGGATCAAGAAGTACTCGATAATCACGAACGAATGTACTGTATTTGGAATTCGAAATCAAGCATCCAACAAATACAAAGGAATCATTAGTTCATTCAAACACCACAGTTTGATAACTATTTCCCTGAAGCTATAACCAACATGTTTACGTGATCATTTAGTTTATAAGCTTGCTTCTTGACATCTTGTCTACTGATATACCAAATGATTATAGTACTTTAGAATATTTTGTTACCAAACAGACTTATTCAGTTTGGAGATGAAGATCAGTAGATAAATATAACCGTTAATGTAATTGTTATTGATATTACTTAAACTGATCAACCTAATTTAATTAGTTAGTATTACCAGTGACCACACAATATAGATATTTCAAATAGTTTTGTTACATTTGCATAAAAATTAATTATAAGATTTATAGAACTTCTTGTTACACTTGGAAACAATTATTAAATAAACTTTAATTTGTAGTTGCCTATGTAGCAAATTTGGTAGTTTTTTTGTGTAGATCTAAGTTAAATTTATTCATATGTATAGCTAGAAATTGACGATCTTTAATACAATGTTATAATAAATGGAAGTAGTATATATCTCCATTAAAGTTGATTTAATGAGCTACTGGTACTTGTAGTTAATTAAATTTTGAAATAGGGGATTTCGGTAGTTTAGATAATAAATCACATTATTGATGAATGAATACAAAAGATACATATATTGACAATTGATTATTATCATTCTCTTTTACAACTTGATCTCCAATGATTTGAGAGTTGTTTACAGCTTTTAATCCGATAATCCAATGACCAACTTTAAGAAACCTTTTTGATCAGTAAGCAATCTCTTAAGATATAATTAACTGAAAATGTTACTTGATTAATACCATATTTCAATAATTATGATGTTCATACTGATAATTATTAAACGTAATCATTCTCAAGGTTCTTTCTAGACAGATTGTGGACATCTACTCTCGTCCAACTGGTGAGATATGTATTATTGTTTCAAAGTTGTCATTTAAATATGATTTATTTAGTTATGATATTATTATTATTATTATCATCATCATCAGCTTTATTCAATATTATATTTTTGGTACAATATAAAATTCTCAGCGTAAAGTATTTCAACAAGATTCCGTTTCTTTATTCTTGGTCGGTCCTGGCGATAAATATTAAGTGATCGCCAGTTAGATGTTATCAGTTCAGTAAATGAACATCTGAATAATGTGCATTCTTTTCGTTGTATATTGCCAGCAACCACATTGTCTTTTATTGAGTTTTTTGTAACTTTGACAACGAAAGGTTGTACACTTTTCAGAAACGCAGCAGAATAGGTTATGCGATTAATAGACATAACGATATATTAAAACAAACAAAAATAGATAACTTGTTGAAATATCTGGATGGCAGGAACAGGTAGCCCAGAAGCTCAAGCAGGCCTCCCTTTATTATTATAACTGTAGATAACATTTTAGGAGGCAAGTCGTCAATCAAACTTGAAAATATAGATCTGAAAACCAAGCGATTACACAGAATAAGTAATTCACTAAACATTTTGTTACAATAAAAGATGACATACTGTGAAAAAAGTATATAAATATAGTAACACTTGGATAGATGGTAACATTAGTAAATTAGTTTCCATCTTAATCATAAGCGAATAAGTTAACGCTATTTTGTTTCGTGTTATTTTTTAACAATCATCAACATGATTGTTAACACTTGAAAAATATAACATTGTAGATATAAATGTCGATATTATTGATTATTTAACACGTTACTTTGGATAGTACCTGACGATATAATGTAAGAACAAGTTAGAAATATGTTTCATACTATCACGATGAAATGGGCAATGAATCTTTTGGATTTTTGTATATAAATATTAATATTTGGTATCATACAGTATCCACACAATTCTTCTTTCTCGAAAGCTTTGCTGTTGTAACTTCTATCATACATTAGTCATGATAATGATAATGTCAGCATATGTACATTATCAACCATGGAACAATCGTTATAAGCGATACGTTTCAAAAGCTTTTCTTAGTTTACTAAGATGTTATAAGTAAGTCGCGTTTACCTTATTACTTCATATATGTGATCAGTGAAACATTTAAGTCTATACACACTGAAGGGTTTCCAAACTAGATTTAGAAGTTTAGGATACCAACATAAAATGTTTAAATAATCATTAAGCCATTATAAAACTTGATTTCAGCCAAGGCGTCATATGTTTGAACTTTATCTAGTTCGATACGAATAACTTAGTAGTATAAAGGCGTTTACACAAAATATGTCACTCAAAGACAAGTATACGAATCTATGTTCGATGGATGTATAACATTATATACCACTAAAGTAATTGATATCAAAGCTTAGTTTACGCACCATTATCATTACAAGTGAAATTAATTCATATCTAATCAATATTCTTTATTTATAAATTCCCTTAATTATAACACATAGCATAGCAATAAAAATATGGCATTTATAGTCTAAAATATTTGTAATTATTTACAACTACTACTAACTACTATGAATAATGATTATCAGTAAAGTTATAAACTATCATCAAACTACATCACGAGGCAAGCTCTAACTTGGAATCCTAGAAATAAACGAAAAGAAGGAAGCCTAAAGAACACACTACGTTGGGAATTAGAAGCAGACATGGAAAGGATGAATAAGAACTGAAAAGGATTGCCCAGGACATAGTTGATTGAACAGTGCTATGCACCTCGATGATGTGTAACAGGTGTAAACAATTAAGTAATAGTTTGTAACAGCTTTATTCACTTGTGATAGGAACTAACTTTTATTGTGTAGTTAATATGCTTCCAAGTATTTTTGATAAAGAAAGATACAATCTTATTATTTATCCTTAATGGTTGTTTTATTGTTGATCGGAACTTGTAAAGAAGTATATATATTAGAACAAATAACTTCTTGTGACTGAATTACTGTAACAATAAACAGAAAGTTTAGTAAAAACCATGTTATTTATTAATAAATGAATGTATTTAGTTACAAAAAAATAGAACATTAAACAATCGGATACAGTAAACTGTTTGAATATTTATCTCATATTTCATGTTTCTACTTTAGAAAATTAAAGATTATTCAAGAATATTCAAGTAATGTTTACTTTTCAAGTCATATTACATGATGTTTATTAAGATTTATTAGTTACAAAATATAAAGAAATATGAACTTTATCAATAATACATGTACTTTCCGCTTTAACACCACCCTTATTACCTACAGTACAATACTTTGTAGTTTTTATATTTCATTGCTATAGTGTTTGTTTTATTTTTTATTTTTTTTTTTTAAAAAAAAAAGAAGACGCGAAACCATAAATTGTGTTCTTGTTTGGAATATTTCTGTTTTTTCTCTTGTAAACTACAATTTGTGATAAATGAATGGAAATTTTTGCGAAACATTATAATAATAATTATTATTATTACTATACAAGCTGACATTACCGGATCATTATCATAACTATTAATATTACTACTATACTGTTACTAGAACACTTCAAAATATTTATGTTTACATTGACATCTAGTAACAACTGAAAACTTTGCTTATGCAAGGACAAGTTAAACCGATGTCATTCGTTTACTTTTACAAAAAGCAACAACATTTAGCAAGTTAATCTATATTTTTCTTTACTCCTGATTTTCTACATTTAAGAAAAGGTAATATAGTTTTTGTACTAAGGGCCGTTCTCCTTTCGCCTTATCATTAATTACATTAGTTGTGCATAAGGTTTAGTTTTATTTAGCGTAAGATAGATAAATCAATGGTATTATATTTGTGATAACTTAAATGAATTCAGAAATGTGGTTTATATTACGAGAGATATCAGTAAGAACTGAAGCTCATGAATTTGATCTCTAAGGAGCTGTATGCTGAGGAATCTCAAACTAAGACAACAGGAATGTCCAACCTCACTTGGTTTTCAACTATTTTGCGAGTTGCATTTAACCAAATGGAGAAAACTAACTCGATATTACATACATACACATACAGTGGCATAAATAATGTCGTTTATTCTATACAAAATTATAGAAAATTACCACTAAATACTAATATAAATAAACTTGTAGTATATGTCTTCGTACACACATACATAATCCCTATATATGTGAATACGTTTTAGTGATTCCATAAAATATAATTATTTAAATATTTTTAGCGTGATCTGTGTATATTTCTTCAATTTAATGGTTTTTTATTCAATGTAAAATAGTGTGTTCACTCTTATTGCTATGAGTTAATAATTATTTAATTATCATGATGAGGTCGTGGAGATTGTTAAGTTTTTGATTAAGATAATGAATCGATTGATGTTAGACCATCATTCAAAACCTGGAAACACTGGACGACCCTTTCGTCCCATTAAGGAACTCCTCAGTATTGCACATTCACGATCCCACCCTGCTGGATTCGCACTCAGGTTTGCGCGAGAACGCTCATCCTCTAAATCACTGAACCGGTATCCGACGGTGTTAATGTTTAACTTCAACCAAATTATTCATTTATTAACCTACAAACTTATTATTTTAGCCTTTTACAAGTAACATATAGGCCTATCAACCTATCCTAATTAAAAAAACCATTATTATTATTATACAACACGAAGTTACTGATTAACTTAAGAAAGTTAATGAGACGTATCTTTTTATACTTAAATTAATATGTGTTGAACATTCGAATAAAATAGAGCCGGAATAAGAAGTTGTCTTTAAACTATTGTATTGTATTCAATTACATTGATTATAAATAATAGAAAGAATGTTCTTGTTAAATCCAAATGTAACTTTGTAACTTAGTGTAAATCAGTTTTCATTTTAGAGAATACAATAAATAATCAAATTGAATTAACACAAGTTTAAATAGTGCAAAGGAATAAAGCAGAATATATTTTTCTATATATATATATATATATATATATATATATATATATGTATGTATATGTATATAATCCGGTAATGTCAATGACATATAAAAAATACATTAAGGACCATTTTTGTGTGTATCTGTGTATGGTGATGGGTTTGAAAGATGTGGTATTTGTAATGTAGAAGAGCAGGATTACAAATATATTGGTTCTATTAATCACAATCTATCCAGTGTTTGATCTGTTTAACATTTCGATAGTTTAGTAAAAAGACTAAGATTATCAGAACTATGTGACATATATTAGCGCAATACATTTGAAAAATTCTAATCATACATATACTTGCTAAGAAAATATATATATATATATATATATATATATATATATAACTAGACTAGAAATGGAGAGTACGAGGAGACATGGATAATAAAGAAAATAATGTGAAAACAATTTGAAATCTCATCACTTTGGATAATAAGTCAATATCACTAGGGTAGGTTTGAGGTGAGAATAAACTATTTTTGAATACACAAAGAGGATTTGAATTTTCATATGACTAAGTTTTAGAAAACCCTAGTATATATCCTTTAACACTTGAACAACGCCATAAAAGCCGTGTTAGGATCAATAAACCTTGGTGTATACCCTTTTACACTTTTGTACAACACTACAAAAGCCGTGTTTAGATCGATCTTATGATCCGTTTCAATTATATGTTCACCAAGACAGGCTGATGGATGTTTATCAGCTACTCTTATTGAGTCATTTGATTTTATTTGTTTCTACGGCCATTGGGGCATGTGTTCAGACACCCTAACTTGGAGATCACGATTACTCCTCCCTATGTATCTGTGGTAACATACATTTAAATTGATATACACAGTGGGGTGTGATACAATCGTTTTCATGTCTTTTACGTTTTTGGTGAATCATGGATCTTGTTCTTTCCTTGAAAAAAATATCCACCAATTAAACTTTGTTAATAGCACTAATATTAATCGTACAACATTAGGAGTGAAAATAATAATAATAATAATATAAGATGAATAAATTAAACCGTGAACCATTCATCCTAGTTTTATCATACATTATTATCCTTAAAATTTACTGAACACTTTCACTTGTGTAAATCACAGTTTATTTCAATAGTTATGAAGAAAATAGTTTTTTTAAATATTTTGCACTGATTTACAAGCATAATCAAACTGATGATATGAAAATTGTACTATATAAATCAGGTGTATTATCATGTCTAATGTTCTATGTAAATTTCATTAATATCATATAGTAACAAGATAGTTATTAACCATTTTAAAACTAATCCATATGTGTGTGTATGTATGTATCTTCTTCATTTCTACATTGTAGCTAATTTAATGGATCATTTTATTCTTATACATTTAAATAGTTTATTTAGAACTTATTCCTAATTTTATTATACTTGATTCATATAGTTTCATTGTGTTATGTGGTTGTTGATCAAACATTTGATTTAATTATTAATCTGAACACATTTCTCATTGTAGTTAATTTGTATGTTTTTGTTTTGTCTACTAAAGTTATTTCTACAGTTTTATGTGACTTTTAACCTGATTCAGGTT